ATTCTAAAATATAATGGGCAGGAGAGGGTGTGGCACACTAAGCAAGATGTGGGGGGAGAAAAAAATCAAAGATCAAGAAAAGCTTTTTGTAGGAGGTGGTACTTGGGCTGCTAAGGAAGCTAGGAATTCTAAAGGTTCAATGAGAAGAAAAAACATGCCAGACTTAGGGGACAGCCTGCAAAAAGGTTCACAGGTAAAAAATGGAATGTCATCTGCTGGGAACAGCAAGAAGACCCCAGTTTGACTAGGACTTAGGATATGTGAGAGGTAGTAATGTGCCATTAGCCTGGAAGGATAGGTAGAGCCAAATTGTGAAAGGGATTAAATGCCAAACTGAGAAGTTTGTTCCTGCAAACAAAAGAACATCACTAAAACAATCTTCTCTGAGTCTCTGTTTCCCTATCTATAAAATAATACCTGTCCTGTATATCTCACAGGTTTGTTTTGAGAATCAATTTATAGAATGAATAATGATCATAGTAGTAGTAGTAGTAGTAGTAGTAGTAGTAGTAGTAGTAGTAGTAGTAGTAATAGTAATTGACATTTATGTAAGGTTTTAAGTTTGCGAGGGGTTTTATACATAGTATCTCATTTTAATCTCACAAGTCTGTCACATAAGTATTATAGGTATTTATGTATCTGTTATCCCCATTTTACAAATGAGGAGACTGAGGCAGAATAAGGTTAAGTAATTGTGACTTGATCATGGTCTTCCAAACAATAAGTGTCAAAAGGAGTATTCTAAACCCACATCTTGCTGACCCCAAGTCTAGCACTGTAACCACTATGTCACAGTATCCCACTCTCTTGTCATCCTCACTGCTCACCTCCCCTCAAAAAAGTCCTGACAATTATGTAGCACTTTCCAAACATTAAATTATTTGAACCTCTAAATAACTGTGTGATGTAAGTATGGTTAAACTGAAACTCAAAAAGATTGTGACTTGTCCATGGTAACATAGCCGCTAAATGTCAGAAGTGGGATTTGAACTTGAATGTTCCTGGCTTCAAGTCCAGCACAGTCCACTATGCCCCGTTGTCTCTCTTGGAAAGAATGTGTTTTGTAAGCTAAAAATCTGAGTTGTTATTCTGTGTTGTGCTTTAACTGCTCAGGACGTGCTCACCCTGAACCATTCACTAATGTAGGGACAGCTTAGCCAATCAAGGTTTCTGCTCATGTGTGTCATTAATGGTTTAATGGGAGAAACTATATAACTAAGCAAAGTAGGGAGTACTATCATTAAAATAATTATTTCCAAAATGAGCAGCTCACTGGTCTTTGAGTGAAGTCCACATCAAAAGCTGTAGAAAACTAGAAATAAACCTAAAAATAGCATATCATACAAGGCACTGAACAGAGGAGCAGTACTGAGCAGGGGTGGGGAACCTGCAGCCTCAAGGCCACATGTAGTCCTCTAGGCCCTCCAGGCCCCTAAGCCTGTTGACTGAGTCCAAGTTTTACAAAACAAATCCTTTTATTAAGGTGACTTGTTCTGTGAAGTTTGGATTCAGTCAAAGGGCCATATTTGAGGACCTGGAAGGCCACATGTGACCTTGAAGCTGCAGGTTCCGAACCCCTGGTATAGGGTATCAATACCAAAATGCATACTAAACAATTTAAGGCATTTTGTTCCTGGAAAAGTCTTATAATAAGGAAAATCAACCCAGAGCACCAACACACAAGTACCAGAGCTTGGGGACTTTAAACCCCATCCTCGCCTCTGTCTTACATACAACATCTATGCTTCCTTCTCAAATTAATAATGGTTAGCATTTATATAGCACTTTAAAGTTTGCAAAGCACTTTACATATATTATCTCATTTGATCCTCAGAATAAACCTGAAAAGTAGGTGCTATTATTATATACCCATTTTACGGATGAGGCAGGTAGAGGTTAAGTGACTTGCCCAAGGTTACTTGGCAAGTAAAGAGCTGGAGTGAGATTTGAACTCAGGCCTTCCTGACTGAAGCTCCAATACTCCACTTCTCCACCTAGCTGCCTCAGTACATACATATATAATGAATTTCCTATGTTTTGCATGATTACACACACATAACCTATATCATTATCTGAGAGGGAAAAGAAGAAAAGGAGGGAGAGAATTTGGAACTCAAAAAAATCTTTTTAATTAATGTTAAAAATTGACTTTACATGTAATTAGGAAAAATATTATTTAAAAAAGAATAGGGATAGGGTTAATGCATAGATTAGAATGATTGATCTGTTAAATATTTTTCATTCAAGTAAAAGGAATGTAAAGTAAAGTAAAATTTAACTATAAAATTAGAAAACAGACCTCTTTATATCATAGAGCCAAAGAACCACTGAATGATAGGGCTGGAAGGACTTGTGAGATCATGTAGGCCACTTTTCCCCAACCTACAGACTGTAGAATTATTCCATAGGACTGTGAAATCCCACATCAAGCACTCATCTTTACTTAGTGTAAATAAAATCTATATGACTTAGCATGATAAATAAACATTCTACAGACAGAAGAAGTGTCTTACTTTTACACACGATATATATTACTATTTTTCATGTTTAGAGATGCTACCATGATGTCAATATATTAGGAGACACCCTGTTTTCCAGAGCTGAGTCCCAGCAAGCAAGCTGTGCCCTGAACTTGCTATAACAACAATTGTTTGTGCTCACCCTCTAGATGATTTTAGCCACAGCAAAATCCCAGAATCGATTCATTTAATTATTGTGTTGCTTTGACCAGCAGCAGGTCTGAGCTTGGACAAGCAGCTGCTGTATCCATGTTCTGGTCATGAAACCCTGCTATGAATCAAACTTGTCACATTGTTGCTGTTACCCTTCATTGTCAGGGCTACAGCTCACTAAGCCATCGGTATAAGTCCCCCAACTAGGGGCAGGGCACTGGCACACGTGTCCTTGCTTGCAAACCATCTCCCTCACTTTGAAATTAACTTCTACTGGATTCCTGACTCTCCTGTCTTTAGCCTGCTCTGTTTGTCTCCAGCCATCCACTGGTTAGAGGCTGACTTGGTCCAATTGGCGATGATGAATAAAATAAAAATGCATCTGTGAGTATTATAGAATTCATAGTAGTTTTTCCCTCATAACATATTCTCTCAATCAACTGATACTAATTGTACAGCTATTATCATATGGTAGTCCAAGAAAGATTTTGACACTAAAAAGGGATCCTCATTAGCAGTATGATGGACCAAGCTCAAATCAGCTCACAAGAGCTCAGCAATTGTTAAATTCTCAGTGTGAGCATTTATAAATACACCTGAGAAATCAGCAAATGTTACAAACCAAGGACTTTATTTATTGTTTCATTGATTATCTAGACTTCAGAAAGTGATGGAGAAAATGTTAATGATGCAGATTAAACATAAAAGTGTATCATACATAGATCCCCTTTTCTGACATCTTTTCTCATCTAGAAAAAAAAAGCATTTGACATCTGAAATAAGCTAAAGGCAACAAGAAAGATAAATACTTCTTTATCAAAGACCCTCCATCACTGTCTGCACCAGGACCATAGAATCACAGGTGCAGCACTGGAAAGCCATGAGTCCAACTCATCTTACAAATGAAGAAATAGACACAGAAAGATTAAGTGACTAGCCCAGTATCACACAGCTAGTAAATGCCAGAGATGGAATCTGACCCCAGGTCTTCCTGACACCAAGTGCAATACCCTCGCCACTCTTTCATGCTGCCTCTAATAAGAGATGGGTCTCACACCTATTATCAACACCTACAGGACAAGAGATGGGCCAAGCCCATCCATTTTCCCAGGACTTCCATTTATCCTTCCACCAAACAAGGTGTTACTCTGCCTGCCTGGTCACTATTTTCCACTCAGTGCTGCGCTGACAACATGTCACAACTTAAGGGAGAGCCGGGGCAAAGGAGGAGCATTCTTCCTTTCAGAGATGCTATTCAGTCACTTTTCAGTCATAACCGACTCTTCATGACCCCATTTGGGGTTTTCTTGGCAAAGATACTGGAGCCTTTTGTCATTTTCTTCTGCAGCTCATTTTACAGATGAGGAAACTGAGGCAAAGAAGGCTAAGTGACTTTCCCAGGGTCACAGAGCTAGTAAGTGTCTCAGGCAGAATTTGAACTCAGGAAGATGAGTCTTTCTGACTCCAGGCCCAGCACTATCCACTGAGCCACCTAACTGCCCCACTTCCTTTCAGTAATCTTATGTTAAGAGAGCATCCTGGATATGCTCATCTATTAGCAAGTCCCTCATTCCAGCCTTCTTCTATCATGAAGATGTTCTCACATATCAAAGGAGAAATAAAATCCTTTCAGAACATTTTATAGCTTTCAGCATAAAGACAGAGAAAGACAACAAGCACTAGAGGGGGGCAACAGGGCATATTGGGAAGAGTCTTGGCAATGGAGTGAAAAGACCTGGGTTCTACTTTTGACTGACCCATCCTCTCTATGCAGCTGTGAGCTGAGTCACTTATCCTCTCTAAGCCTCAATTTCCTCATCTTCAAAATGGGAATGATAATACTTGCCTGTCCCTACCCGCCTGCCTCATAGTGTTGTTGTGAAGAAATAGTAACATGTATACTGCACTTACTAAGTGACAGACACTGTGTTAAGCATTTTAAAATTATTATCTCATTTGATCCTCACAACAACCCTGGAAGGTTGGTGCTATTATTATCCTCATTTTACAGATAGAAAATTGAGGCAAACATGGACCCCTTTGGTAGTCTGGCAAAGTGTGTGGAACTATTCTCAGAACATATAATCTTCTTATTTTAATTAATTATTCTAGCTAACTAGGTGCTAAGTTCAGTTATTTCTACCTGCTGAAGAAGTACAAATACTATAACATCTCTCTAAATTTCAGCAGCTGGGGAAAAGCCCCAGCATCCCATCCTAGTTAACATTCTGGTTAAATAGTGATGTATGAATCACAATGTGATTCATAAAGGAAAAAACTGACGCCAAATAAAAAATACTGCATAAAATAAAAGGCATTGTACATTACCCAAAAGCCCTGCTAAAGATCGCATGTCTTTCTCCATCAGCATGTAGATTTCTTCCTCAGAGAAGCGACCAATGCCATGGCCATACATTTCTCGCTTCACAATGCCCTTCGTTAGGTGGCAGAGAATCCACTTGAGCAGGTCACTAAAGGGACCACTAAGAGAAAGCATCTTCTGTGTCTCATGGAGATTGTCGACCCACTGGCAATAAGCTAATGTCCTAGAAGGATGTAGAAACAAGTAAATGAGAGTGTTAGATACAAAATGCTTCTCTAAAGACACTTGCGAATGACTCTTCAAGAATTTACTGAATTCTAGAGAAAACAACTATTCCTAGCCTCAAAAAAAAAAAGATATCTGAATGCAATGGGATTAGATTTAAGAGACTATGAGATAAAATTAAAAGTTCAAATGTGGGGGGCAGCTAGGTGGCACAGTGGATAGAGCTCTCGCCATGGAATCAGGAGGACCTGAGTTCAAATTTGACCTCAGACACATGACACTAGCTATGTAACCCTGGGCAAGCCACTTAACCCTGATTGCCTCACCAAAAAGAAAAAAAAAAGTTCAAATGTGACTGACAATGACCAAATGCTGAACCATTTTGTATTCATAAACAATAACAATAACAAAACACATTTACATGTCACTTTAAAAAGCTCTATAGATAGGCCATGGCACCATTCTACAAAACCTGTGCAATCAGGCCTCCTTGCTTCTCTATTTTATATGATTTCTACTTCCTTTCCTGCTTTGGGGATTTGTTTTTTTACTATAGAAACCTCCCCCCTCCAAAAAATAATAATTTTTATAGCACCTGTGATAGTTCTATTCTTTTAATGAAAACTCACCTGTCCATATCTGGTATATAGAGGGAATTTTTTCATTTAATGGATTTATCCAGCCTCAGACATTTAATAGCTGTGTGACCCTGGGCAAGTGATTAAACCTCTGTCTCTGTTTTCTCATCTGTAAGATGGGGATGATAATAGCACCTTCCTCCTAGAGTTGTTGTGATAATCAAATGAGATAATAATTGTAATTCCTTTATTAAGAGCTGAAATAATGCTCTGGGAGCTATGGCCTAGCTCAACAGGAGTTTCTATACATGGACCCCTTTGGTAGTCTGGCAAAGTGTGTGGAACTATTCTCAGAACATATAATCTTCTTATTTTAACTAATTATTCTAGCTAACTAGGTGCTAAGTTCAGGCCTAGCACATAGTAACTGCTATATAAATGTTAGCTATCAATAGTAACAACAATAGTAATAGTATTTATTACTCTTCAGAAGGTCAATAGCTGATTGAGGTTTTCTTTCTAGTGTGCTATAGCCAATATGAACATAAGTGAATCATTTGGGTTGTTTCTTCAGGAGTCCATAGAAAATGGTCTTCTCCTGGGGACTTGTGTTTAAAGATATTATGGGATAAAATTAAAAATTCAAATGTGACTGACAGAGGCAGTGGATAGAGCACCGGCCTTGAGTTCAAATGCAGACTCAGACATATAACACTCACTAGCTGTATGACTCTGGGCAAGTCACTTGACCCCAATTGCCTCACCAAAAAAAAACAAAAACAAATGTGACTGACAATGACCAAAAGATGTGAGGTTTTTTTTAACAATAACTCAATAAACTATTGTCTATTATCTATCACCAAGGCATATTATTTTATTCTACAAGAGCTTGATCTAATGACAGGCCAAAGAATTATAATGAAATTAAAGGTCATCCATGTGAGGTTAACTGATTTTTTCAGAGAAGAAGGACTACCACCTATGGCGTTAACAATAGTTGATGGGAGTTGGTTTCTTAGAAAAGGTAATTTAAATAATGGAACTCTGGTGCCCTAGAACAAAATAATTTACATTCATAAGGTCTGAGAGGGGCGGCCTTGGAAGTAATCTAGTTCAACTCTCTCATTTTATAGATGAAGGACTAAGGCCCCCAGAAAAGTTGCCCAAGGTCACGCATAGACTAAATCATGGAACCAAGTTCATACCTGAGGCCTTTAACTCCAAATCTTACACCATTCCTTTGTATCACATGGCTTCCCTAGCCTATATTTACTCCCTAGGAATATCATACACAAAGAGGCTTCAGTTGAATAAATTCCCCAACATTCCTACTTTGGGTCAAAGTATTTTTAAGAGATAAAACATGAAGAAGAGAAATAACCTGAGGGTAAGGGGTGGGGGGAGAGTCTACTTCCCCCATATCTCTTCTGGAAACCAATGTTCTTGACATTTCTTGCTGGGCAAAGAGCCCACAGTACTCTTGAATTATTGGCTGGGGATGACAGTGAAGGCCAATTTGTAAATTAACATTGGCTAAGCAATTAACATCATGTATCATCTTGTGAGCCTATTTCTGAAGTTGAGACACTCATTTTCTTGAACTTTAATGCTGTTTCTGATTAGTCCAAAGAAAGGGGGTCAGAGATAGAGGAATTAAGTGCCTTCAGGATTCAGAAGAGAAAGGTAAAGAGCACCGCAGAATGAAGGAAGGTGCTTAAATTTCTTAAAGGAAATCAAGATAAACATCAAACCTAATGATTTTTCTATTACCACTTAACAAAATTTGTAGGGTTTTTTTGGGTTTCTGTTTTTTGTTGTTGTTTTTTTTTTTTAATCTGGCCCTGTGATTTTGGTTGTGTAGGGAATTGACAGAATAGAAGCTGCTAGTCAGCAACTGATCTGTACCTTGGAGAATTGCCTGGGGCACTGAGAAGTTAAATGATTCACCATGGGTCACAAAGCAATTCCTCATCAGAAGTGAGGCTTGAACCCACATCTTCTGGACTCTTAGGACAATCCTCTATCTACTATACCATACTACTTCTCTCAAAAGAATAGAATAAAAATCAAACCAAGGAATGGTTTTGTTTAGCAGGATATTGTCATTTCTTAGACAGTAATATCTTACTTTGGGGAAGCTAGGTGAAGCAGTAGATAGAGTCAGCAGGACCTGAGTTCAAATCTCACCTCAGACACTTACTAGCTGTGTGACCCTGGACAAGCCACTTAATCATCTTTGCCTCAGTTTGCTCATCTGTAAAACGACCAGGAGAAGGAAATGGCAAACCACTCCAGTATCTCTACCAAGAAAACCCCAAATGGGGCCACGAAGATTTGGACATGACTGAAAACAACTAAACAACGATTTTAAGAGTTAGGGAGTAACTCTTGTCATTTCACATAGCGTAGGGCACAGTGAACCCTAAATATAACAAATGATGAGAAAAAGGGAAAGCTGGGAAAGAAAAAGAGATGTAATCAACAGAGATATAATCAGAGCTTGTCCACTTGGTTTATAAAAAGGGCTTTTTTCCACATTTGATGTCTCTAAAGTATTTATTTCACTAACACCGCCTTCATCACCAGTACATAATTTACATAATTAGAATTCACAGTTCAAAAGCTGATTTTTCTTTAAGAGATGAGAACTAGTGTGAATATAGTCTGACAGTAGTGTATTTCACACCTGATCATGCATTTGATACTCAAAGTTCTCAATGATTTCTCTAAGAAGTCATTATGTTCATATAGTGTGTTACATTGAAAAACCTGTCATTTTGTAGCCTGAGGTAGCTAGGTGGTAGAGTGGATAGATAACTGCAGCTAGAATCAGGAAGACATGAGTTCAAATCCCATCTCAGACACTTACTAGCTGTGTGATCCTGGGCAAGTCACTTAACTCCTCTTTGTCTCAATTTCCTCATCTGCAAAATGAGGATATGATACCACTGACCACCCACGGTTGTCATAAGGATAAAAAGAGATGATATTTGTAAAGCACTCTGCAAACCTTAAAATGCTATCTAAATGCTAGTTATGATTATCAATTTGGTTCAAATAAGTTGACCCTGAATTCTTCTAATTTCTCTTTACTCACATTTGTCTGCATTTAGTCTAACAGGCATCAGGTGGAAGTAAGGAGCTAAAGAGATTCTGCCTTCCTAGACTTCAATAATAGCTTTTATTAAAAAAATAATAATAGCTTTTATAACACGAGTGGGGTATAATCGCATAGATTGCAAATGCAAGAAAATTCACTTTGTGTATCTGAAGAGACTTAAAATGGAATTTCAGAATCAAAAAGCATTGAGGTCACAAAGAGTAGGACACTACTGAAATGACCAAACAACAATGAACAACAACAGAAGAAAAAACAAATGTGTTTCCATGGAAGAAATACTGTATTTAGAATCAAATTAACTATATCTGAATCTACAATCTGGTAATTATTAGCTGTGTAAACTTAAGCAAATCATTTAGCCTCTCTAGAGCTGCATCCTCATTTGTGAAATGAAAGGATTGGATGAGATCTGACATTCTTAAACCTTTTTGTGTCATGGACACCCAGGCAGTCTGGCAAACTGATTCATGGGCCCCTTTTCAGAATAATGTTTTTAGGGGCAGGTAGGTGGCGCAGTGGATAGAGCTCCGGTCTTGGAGTCAGGAGGATCTGAGTTCAAATATGGCCTCAGACACATGACACTTACTAGCTGTGTGACCCCGGGCAAGTCACTTAACCCCATTGTCTAACAAAAAACAAAACAAAAAGAATAATGTTTTTAAATAATTGAAGAAAATGCTATGTTTAAGTCAGAGGTTAGCAAAAATAAAGACGCAATTTGTCCCATCTAATCTGTGGACCCCCCAGTCCCCAAAACCTATCCAGAGATTCCAGGTTAAGACTCCATACACTAAACATTCCCTGAAATAATTTTTCACTCTAAATCTGTAATTCTAGTCCTAAATTGGGACAGCTAGGTGGTGAAATGGATAGAGTGCCAGGCCTGGAGTCAGGAAGACTCATCTCCCTGAGTTCAAATCTGGCCTCAGAAACTTACTAGTTGTATGACACGGGGCAAGTCACTGAACCCTGTTTGGTTCAGTTTCCTCATCTGTAAAATGAATTGGAGAAGGAAAGGCAAACCACTCCAGTACATTTGCCCCGAAAACCCCAAAAGGCATCATGAAGAGTCGACACAACTGAAAATGTCTCAACAACAACAAAGTCCTAAATTATATCGACTGGCCGGTCTTTATGAGTACGTGCAATAGGCTCTGCTGGATGCAGTTCTCAACATGGACTTTGGATCATGCCCAAGTATTCTGTTTCCAGTACACTAACCACATGGTGAAGAGATGGTCTTCTTACTGGATACCGAACTGGAACTGGGAGTGCATACAGAAGATATCCAAGGCCCTT